CATCTAGAGTGAAGCCAGTTTGAGAGTTCAATTCCTTACTGTGCTTTGCAAGAGAAGAGCCAGCCTTTGGCACCCTGGGCAAGCTGCACAGCCCCATTCCCTTCCCCAGAAGAAGGGAATGGTAAAGCATTTCTGATTGCTCTCTACCTAGAAAACTCTGGCATGGCTTGATTTGATGGCAGGCAACTATTATTAATATGCCCCACCTTATACTTCCTTATGCTCTGCCCATTGCTTGAAGGTTACGATAGTAAGTACAGAACACTTCTGTTAAGATTCTAGCATCTCTTGGCTTTTAGTGTGCTGACAGTTGTAAACATAGTTCTCTATTAATGCTAATATGGGCCATTAAAGTATTTGGATGCTTAGATTCTTGTTGTTGCCGTTTCCAGCAACTAATTTCCTCATATATTTTGTTCTGCATCAGTTGGCGATAAGACTCCAGTTTTTCCCCACTGGGCTCAGCTTTGCATAATCTATAATGTTTCAGAACAACATAATATTGCATATGCATTTGCTAACCTTCACAGGAATGAAACTATATTAATTAAGGCTGTATTTACTTAGGACTATAATCTTGAATTGGTAAAGGTACACACACGACTCCCTCTCCCCTGTATGGCGGCATTGTAAAATACTTTATGCTTTGAAAACATAACCAAGACACAATGTTTCAGCCCGGGATTAAAAATAAGGGCCATGTGTCATCTTCGAACTGGAAACAGTTTTTCTTTTAGAATACAGATACAGTCATGTCCTGCTTAACGATTGCCTCGCTTAATGAGGAAATCGCTTTATGATGAGGTTTTTGCAATTGCAATTGCGATTGCAAAACAATGTTTTAAATGGGGGAATTTCACTTAGTGATGATCGGTTCCCTACTTCGAGAACCGATTTTCGCTTTATGAAGATCAGCAAACAGCTGATCGTCGGGTTTCAAAATGGCCACCGGCTGAAGAAAATGCCCCCCCTGCTGTTTTCTAGGACGGATTCCTCACTTTACAGACACCGAAAATGGCCGCCATATGGAGGATCTTTGCTGGACGAGCAGGTATTCAGCCCATTGGAACGCATTTACCGGGTTTTAATACGTTTCAATGGGTTTTTTTATTTCGTTTGATGATGTTTTCGCTCTGCAGTGATTTTGCTGGAACGAATTAACATCGTCAAGCAAGGCACCACTGTAAAGTAGGGGACCAGAGAAGCTTAGCCAGGACTGGAAACCAAGTCTTAAGAGTCAAAAGGCAGATCAGGGAATAGCTATGCATCCTGTACTGGATGTCCTTCTGAAAATCCAGGTGCAGAGTTTAGGGATGCTCCTGGATTCATCTTTGAGCCTAGACGCCCAGGTTTCGGTAGTGGCCAGAAGTGCCCCTGTACTGGATGGGGTTGTAGTCCTTCTGAAAACCCAGGTGCAGAGTTTAGGGGTGCTCCTGGATTCATCTCTCAGCCTAGATGCCCAGGTTTCGGTAGTGGCCAGAAGTGCCATTGCACAACTAAAACTAGTGCGTTAGTTTCACCTGTTTCTGGACAGGTCTGATCCAGCCACGGTGACACATGCCTTCGTTATGTCCCAACTGGATTACTGTACTATGTTGTTGTATGTGTTGAGCTGCCACTGGAAAGGGTCCAGAAATTTCAGTTGGTCCAAAATATAGACTCACGTAATCTCCCTGTTACAGGAGCTGCACTGCTTGCCACTCCTTTCCAGACACCACTCAAAGTGCTGATTCTAACTTATAGAGCCCTAAACAACTTGAGCCCAAGTTCTCTCATGGATCATGTCTTCTTTTATGAGCCTGCTTGAGTGTTAAGATCAGCAAGAGACACCTTTTTTCAGTCTCACTACTTTCATAGGTGCATCTAGTGAGGACATGGGAGAGGAGGCCTTTTTTTCAGTCTCACTACCTTTACAGGTGCATCTAGTGAGGACATGGGAGAGGGCCTTCTCTGTTGCTGCTCCCAGACATTGGAACTCCCTCCCACAAGAGGCCCGACAGGCCCCACTTTTACGGTCCTTCAGTTTTAGAGGATTTTTTTTTTTTACATTCTTCTCACAGAAACCTGGAGCAGAGTATTTTGTCTCAATAAACTCCATGTTCACATATCAGCTTTCATATCCTGCTGTTTTTAAAAAAGAATGACTTCATTCATATAGAACAAAGACATTAAAAGAACATAATTTAAAAGATGGAAAATTCTTGGTGCTTTATCAGGAAAACAGGGGGTGCAGGAAACATTTCTATGAATCTAGAAGTGAAAGCCTTTCTTTCTTTTCATTGACTTCCCACAGCTTTCTGTACTTTATTTCTTGAGATACTCAAAGCAGATGTCGGAGGTGTTTACTTCCTGAATTCCTGTGGAGAAAGAGCAATGGTGGCTGAAAACATTCTGTCCACTACTCCAAGGAAATGTCAGATCCCTCCAGAAAACTCCCATAAAGCTGAAGAGATAAAGCAAAACGTGCTACTTATATACTGCCCCATAGTGCTTAAAACACCATCTGGTTGGTTGAATTATGCAGGCTCTTTAGTCTAGAGAAAAGGTGCCTGGGGGGGGGGACATGATTGAGATGTATAAAATTATGCAGGGGGTGGATAAAGTGGACAGAAGGAAACTCTTTTCCCAGAACCGGGGGACATCCAGTCCAATTGAGTGTTGGGAGAGTGACAACAGACCAAAGAAAATATTTATTTACCCAGTGTGTTGTTAGTCTGTGGAACTCCTTGCCACCGGAGGTGGTGATGGCATCTGGCCTAGATGCCTTCAAAGGGGGATTGGACAGATTTCTGGAGGAAAAGTCCATTGCAGGTTACAAGCCATGGTGGGCCCCTCCTGCAAGCTGGGTACTTAATTTACTGACCTTGGAAGGATGGAAGACTGAGTGAACCTTGAGCCAGCTACCTGGGATTGTACCCAGGTTGTGAACAATATACTCTTACAGTGGGGTCTTGACTTGAGAACTTAATCCGTATTGGAAGGCGGTTCTCAAGTCAAAAAATCTGTAAGTCAAGTCTCCATTGACCTACAGTGCATTGAAAACCGATTAATCCCGTAACAGGCCGTTTTTGTTCCATTTTGGTTTTTTTCTGGTCTGTAAGTCAAATCTCAGTCTGCAAGTCAAACCTAAATTTTGCGGCCAGAGAAGTCTGTAACTCAAAAAGTCTATAAGTCAAGCCGTCTGTAAGTCAAGGGTCCACTGTAGTTACAGTTTCGTTATTGCTACTTTTTTTCTAATTCAGAAATATTTGATATTTATATTGGTAGGAGCCAGTGCTACATGAGGAAATTGACATTTGCATCCAGCCTTCAGGAGAGTCAGAAACCTTTCGCCCCCAGTCACAGCCCTTTTTGGAGCCCTTCTCAGGTTCCAGGACCTCCTGTCAAACAAGGAAAGCTTTTGTGGGGTGGTGGTGATTGCCATTGCCTTCCCCAGGGGCACTAAGGAGTGGTGGCTAGGTTTAAGGTGTTAAAAGGTGACAATGAGGTGCTTTACCATGACTACCTGAGCAGTGTGTCAACCACTATGTATTTATTTAGAGTGGTGCCTCGCTAGATGGTGATAATCCGTTCCACTGAAATTGCTGTTCAGCGAATTCATTGTCTAGCGAAAAGCATTTCCCCATTGGAATGCATTGAAACCTGTTTAATGTGTTCCAAAGGGGAAGAATCGTTGTTGTCTAGCGAAGATCGGCCATAGGAAAGCCGCTTTGCGAATCGCCGATCAGCTGTTTAAATCACTGTCTTGCAAAGCTTAGGTCCCGAAAACACCTGTTTTGTAAGCACAGAGGGAGCTGTCAAAATCGTCGTCTAGCGAAAATCGGTTTGCGAAGCAGGGACCAAACATTGTCCACCGAAATTCCCCCATAGGAATCACTGTTTTGCGAATCGCTATAGCGATCACAAAAAGTTGATGTCTAGCAAAAAAACTGTCATTGGGGTAACTGTCTAGCGAGGCACCACTGTATTTGACTTATATACCACCACCTGAGTTTCACTACTCTGGGCAGTGAAAATTAATGGAAACCAGAATATCCTTTATTTGCATTAACCATATGCCGTTGAAAGTAGTACATAGCATAACAGTTACTGGGATATTAAAAAACCAGACTGACATCAATACAACACACACACACACACACACACTTATGTAGTACATAACATAACAGTTACTGGGATATTAAAAAAACCAGACTGACAAGTCTGCAAAGAATCCCAATTTTGAAACCCGCCTACATATTCCAAAAAATTAAACAGGTAAGTCTGCAAAGAATCCCAATTTTGAAACCATATTTGATCTAATTTTAATTCCCCCTGCTAAAAATTTTGCAGACTGTACCATCACCTGTTTTTCTTGGTCTGCAAGAAGAAAAAAATACATAAAAAACTGATGAGTGACCCTGTCTTGTTATCTAAGAAAGGACAAATTTGTGTACACCTCTGTAAGAAGAGCAAAACATGGGGAAATTAATGGAAAAGTCATTGCCTGCTTTGGAAGTAAGGTCAGGGCAAAATGCACTTCCCAGAGAACATATTGAGAGGATAGCAAGCTGTGAAAAGAAGCACCACCAACATCTTGAAGATGGGGGGGGGAAGGGTTTTGCTTCTTAAACGCCCGCCTCATAACGTTTTTGATCTGTAAGTTCTTCAGTAATCACGTTTCTTTCAACCCAAAGACATTTCAGATAAATTGTACAAACTTAACGTATACAGAGGTCATAAAATTCACTTTAGGAAATACAAAATTTTGTTTCTGAGCTCAGCTTCTGTTTATCAACCCATACGTGCAAGCTCTAAGGCCTGAATTCAGTGGCTCATTCCAGCTAGAGTCAACTCAGTGAATCAACAGATAACTGAGGATTTGTGTAAGCCCCATTGATTAAATAGAGCTATTCTACATGTGACTAACAATGAACAGGATTTAGCCTTTGTTTTCTGTGAATATGATGTTCCGTAAACGATTAATTGCTCATTCTCTGTCTCTTTTTCTTCTTTCCCAGGTAATGCATTTGTGGTTAGCCTGGCTTTGGCAGACTTAGTGGTGGCCTTGTACCCTTATCCATTGGTGCTGGCGGCCATTTTCCACAATGGCTGGGCCTTGGGGGATACGCACTGTAAAGCGAGCGGCTTTGTGATGGGGCTGAGCGTCATCGGCTCCATTTTCAACATCACGGCCATTGCAATAAACCGATATTGCTACATATGCCACAGTTTTGCGTACGACAAGGTGTACAGCTGGTGGAACACGATGCTGTACGTCTGCTTGATCTGGGTCTTGACGGTCGTTGCGACCATACCCAACTTTTTCGTCGGCTCCCTCGAGTACGACCAGCGCATCTATTCATGCACGTTCACACAGACTGCTAGTTCTTACTACACGATCGCCGTCGTCGTCATCCATTTCATCGTACCAATCACCATTGTGAGCTTCTGCTACCTGCGTATCTGGATCCTGGTGATCCAAGTAAGGAGGAGGGTCAAGTCAGAAATCAAGCCAAGGCTGAAGCCGAGTGACTTCCGGAACTTTCTTACCATGTTTGTTGTCTTTGTGATCTTTGCCTTTTGTTGGGCACCGCTGAATTTCATTGGACTGGCCGTCGCCACTAACCCTTCTGAGATAGCACCCAAAGTTCCCGAGTGGTTGTTCGTTGTGAGCTATTTCATGGCCTACTTCAACAGTTGCCTTAATGCAATAATCTATGGACTTCTGAACCAAAACTTTCGGAAGGAATATAAACGGATCCTGATGTCACTGTGGATGCCTAGGCTGTTTTTTCAGGATACTTCCAAAGGTGGGACTGAAGCTCAGAAGAGTAAACCCTCTCCGGCTTTAAATAATAATGACCAAATCAAAACTGATAGTATGTAAATATATGAAAATTGAACGCTAAAGGGTATCTTTTTGTGAACTTGAAATTCTGTAGGGTTTAAGGTTGTACACCTCATCCTTGCTGACTCTGTTCTCTGCGTTCCAGCTGAATGATCTACCTTGATGACTGGGATCCTGTCTTCTCAACAAACCAAGTTCTGTTTACACGTCTGTAATTTAATCATTAGGCACTAATGTGAAGGCTTGAGAGTTCAGAAAGCAGAGGCAGACGCACCTGCTATGTTTTGTTTTTAATTGTTTGAAAGCCAGTCTTTGGATTTGGATGTACGCACAGGAACAACCAGTATGTCGTTCATGTTTTTATAAAATATGGTTCTCAGGAAGTAGTATACTTGCACTGTCTTTTGAAGAATTATGGTAGGTGACGGTTTAGCCAAAAAAAAAAAAAAAACACTTATGGATTTGTGTATGAAGCTGGATGCAGCCCTTTTCTAGATGAATGTTGTCCAGACATTATCCCCCACTCCTCAGCAGCTAGGGCTTGCAGGATTTAATGTCCCAGGACATTTTGATCTGCAAAAAACATCATCTTCCACCCCCTCAGGCATTCCTGCTTTCGCTGAGCATAGGCGCAAATCTGTACAGTAGTTATTTTCCTAAGCAACAATATATTTGTGTGAATTATTAATGTGGGCATGTTTGCACACACACACACACACACACACACACACACACACACACACACACAATATCCAGGAATAGATCAACACAGCTGCCTCGATAGTTTGTGAGAGGGCTGTTATGCTGAACAAACACTTCAAAAATGGATAGTGCTCCTCAAAGCTGAAATATATGGCCCTTAACTATCATATATAGCCACATAAAGGCACTGAACAGTAATCTACTGATAGACAATACGAAGGAGTGACTTGTAGAGCCACCCAGGGGAAAACTCCTCCTCATAATTTCAAAGGTGTGCCCCCTGCCTCAAGTCTTGAGACACTTTTAATTATAGGCAATCTCAATCCCACAAATCTCCCCTTGCAGATCTAGTGGAAACAACATTCTGGTGTGAGTGTGCTCATGGCCAGCTACTCTTTGGTAACCACTTACAAGTCAACTGGGCAACAGTTCAATGCTGTGATTCTTTACATTTTCTTTAAAACAAAATCCCAGACTATGGTCTACCAGTAGAGATCACAAGTAGAGATGAGCACATGCTGGAAAAATGACGAATGGGCAAATCCCCCACCCCAACCCCAGAAAAACGAACCAGTTCATGGTTCGTTTTTTTTTCCAGTTCATGCCTTGGGGAGGGTCACTTACTGCCTCCACCCCTTCTGTCACTCGCCTGCCCCCTTCCCACTGTCCCCATCACTTCTCTGCCTGCTCCTGCTTCCTGCTCCTCTGCGTTCTCCCGTCCAGGAGCCGAGCCATACTCTCTGAAGATGGTGGCAGTGGAGGGTGAAGAAGAGGAGTTGGCAGGGCCAGGAAGGGAGGCGGCTGGGGCAGCAGGAAGGGGGCAGAGGGGACTTCATTTTGCTGAAGCAAAACAAAGTGCTGAGCAGAAAACAAGTTTGGCACTTGGTTTTGTTTTGGCAATACGGGTTGCATGAACCGATCCATGAACCAGTTCAGTTTGAATTCCCCATTAATTACAACGCAGCCACTTTAAGAATGTCTGCCATGGCTGAATCCAGGAGGGAGCAGATGACTCCGATGTCACAGGGGTGGTGAATGCACTTTAGAGAAACTGTCCAAGGTTCCGATTCTATTTTGAGTTCAGTTTGAGTTGCTTAACATTCACTGTCATGTGTTGTCAAGTCAGAACTGACTAATAGCAACCCTAGCAGGGCTTTCAAGGTAAGTTGGGATATTTAAGGAATGGTTTTACCATATCCCCAGTGAGTTCCTGTGACTGAGTCCTAGTCCACCACTCTATCCACTGCATCACATGGAGTATCACAATAAATTGCAATGATGGTAGGCCATTGAATCAACGAGGATTTGGTGAGACCACTGCTGTATACGTTCCATTGATTCAATATGCTTACTCTAGTTGCAACTTGCTACCCAAAGTAACAGGATTCCAGTCACTGTGTCTTCCTAATTTTTTGGAGGGGGGGTCTTTATTGCAAGTAGACACACTTAGGATTGTTCCATAAAAATCCAGCCATGGGTAAAAGCATTGAACTTTCGCTAGATAATTCTTCTCTGGAAAATGTTGCCCCCCATGAATAAGCAGTATCTTTTCCCCAAGGAGTATATATCAGGCATCCTTCTATAAAAGCTGAAGATACGTTCATTTCCCTTTTCACCTTTCTCCCCAACAGACACATCAGTCTATTTCAGGTCATTATCAATGTTCAGACATGCTGATTCATAAATCCATTTTGTTTCATTTCCTCACAAATATACGGGGTGGGTTTTTTTTTAATTCCCCATGAAAATTCCTGTGTATTGCCTGGAATCCTATATGTGTTCCTACATTAAACCATGGCTTTAACAAGAACAACAGCAACAGCCTACATGAAAATCCCAGTATATTGGCTCAAAGCCTATTGGCACAGCTTGCTGCTGCTAGTTGATGAGATGCCGGTGCACATATCAGTTGCGGGCTGGGTTCTGTTTCCACAGGCTAAGGACACCCCAGCACCTCATCAATCCGCTGCAATTAGCTGCAGTCAATTGCTCAAACTTTACACATACACCAGCAGGATTCCTGGCATTATCTATTAAACAAACAGTTGGATAGCTCAGTGGTTTAGGTAGAGGTTGACAATTCTGTTCCCCACTTTGCCTCCTTGACAGGGGCTGGATTCGATGATCCATAGGATCCCTCTTAAAAAGGTAAAAGGTAAAGGTTCCCCGTGACATTTTTAGTCCAGTCGTGTCCAACTCTAGGGGGCGGTGCTCATCCCATTTTTCAAGCCGTAGAGCCAGCGCCTGTCCAAAGACAGTTTTCATTGTCATGTGGCCAGCGTGATTAGGGAACGCCGTTTTACCTTCCCACCGAGGTGGTACCTATTTATCTACTCGCATTTACATGCTTTCCAACTGCTAGTTTGGCGAGGAGCTGGGACAAAGCAACGGGAGCTCACTCCGTTGCGTGGATTCGATCTTACGACTGCTGGTCTTCTGACCCTGCAGCACACAAAGCCTTCTGCGGTTTAAATATTTCTTAACAGGATATGTTCCCGCATAATGCACATTTTTAATTGACCTCACATAATTTAGTCAGTATGCATTAATAAATTATTTTGGCATACTGTTGAGCTGAACACTGCATCACTGTGTTTAGACAAGCAGAAAACCAAGTTAATAACTGTACTCCACATTGTATGGATCAAATTGATTCACAATCTAAACTCCAAACGGTTGACTGTTCCATGTAACTCTGCTTTCAAATAGTAAATTCTCCTGACCTTTCATTATAGAGATATTCTAAGTACAAGAGGTAATTATTTCTGGCACAGTGAAGGGGGGGGAAGCTATTTTACTGGTCTTTGATAGAGGTTATATGTTTGCAATATAGATTTAAAGTAAAAATTCTGGAACAATATTCCAAAACTGTATGACAGTATTGACTATGCTGAGGTAATAAGCTTGATGGTTTCACATCTTTAAAGGTTCGATACCAGCATTTAAAATAACGATGGATTAATATTTCAGAGAGCAGCAAAGAGAATTGAAATTTAATGTGTATCTATAAAATATTTTGGAGAACACAACACTTCAGGGATAGAAAACGTCTGCTTTGGGAAGAGAATGTGCCTGTACAAACATTGTATTCTCTCTTAAGTACTCAGTTTTTATAAAGTGGTTGCATTTATTTCCAGCAAACAGTAATATATCCTTCTGCAATGTTCCCAGTATATGCATCCTTCCATTCGCATTGTCTGATTGTTTTTTCCCATGGGAAGGATCCAGGCAGGTAGTCTTCAGATCACTCCAATTTGTCCCCCTTTTGATAACACTCTCTTTCTCGCCCCCTTCCTTACCTTTTCTTCTGGCCATCATTCAGTGGCTCACAGCAATTTTCCTCTTTTTTTGTGAAACCAAGCAAGTGACATAGTGAAACAGCAATGCATCAACCTAGCATGGTACACGTAACACTGCCAATAAACACTTAAATGAATTCGAGCACATGAGAAACTTTGCCTTTCTTGGACAATACGTTCCGTAATTCCTTGGGCAATACAGCCAGTAGTAATATTGGATGAGGTATTCTGATGTTAGTTTGGGGAAAATCTCACCCCTCTCTTTCTCCCAAGACTGGGATTCAAGGTGGCTCACAAGATGATTAAAAAAACAGATACAACTAAAATCACAATAGGGTATTATCAAAATGTAATTACACAGATTAATAGTTTGAAACAATCACCTAATTAAAAAGTGCACCAGAAGAGGAGAAAAGAGAAAGGATAGTATCTCCCTCTTCCCCTCATTCAAATATTGCTTAAAAATGTCAAAAGAATTAATTTATGTGTATCATAAGGGTGTATAACACGGCATTTCTTTCATATAGAAATAAAAGAGCACATAGATATATCCAGGCTACTTTGTACAGTGCAAAAAAAAATTTGTGTGCAGAATGGCTCCTCAAAAGCAGTTTGGCAAGGGGGAATGATTGATACAGACACAGACAAAATAAGTTTCCAACCTTTGGTCTCCAGATGTTCTTGGACTACAGCTCCCAGAAATCTTGGCCAGCACAGCTAGTGGTGAAGGCTTCTGGGAGTTTTAGTCCCAGAACATCTAGGGACCCAAGGCTGTTAACCACTGTAGAGCTTGAGTTTCCAGAACGCCCTAGAACAAATGGCCACTGAGGCATTCTGGGAGTTGTGGTTGAAACAATTAATTTTACCCATGTCTGGACTTAATTTTTATCATATTAAATACAGAGACTGTCCTAATCTTGACAAAGCATACAAGAAATTAAATAATATGCCAAATGTTGTAACACAGCACTAGTCACTTGCTAATACTTTTGCTATTCTATTAGCTCCATCTGTGACAATGGAAGGAGAAGGTAGATAAATGGTGATATTTTGATTAGAAGTTTATTTCTTTACAAATATTTTGCACAAGTAATGTACTTGAGAGAACCTCCAGCGCAACTGCTGATTTTTAATTACATTGTAAAGGGACTCCCTCTTCTAATTAAGTAATACCCATTGGTTTTTCCCAAGCAGCAGCTGATTTGAAATTATGAAACATGATGTCGACGCGGGCCTACTTATGTCTGTACTTCATAGGCTCAGAAGATGAACAACCCAATAGTTTCTTGGGTAAACAAAGCTCACGGGCCTGGTTCAAGTGTTAGTAACACACACACACACACACACACACACACACACACACACACACACACACACACACACACACACAGAGAGAGAGAGAGAGAGAGAGAGGTAAACCACATGAAAGAGTACTTAAATATGTGTGAATCTGAGCACATCCATGAGCCATGACAGCAGAAATACTGAAAAATATCAAGTACTGGCAAACAAACTCAGAAGCCACAATTAGAAGAAATAACTCAGGGCTTTGTGGTGTGCACACAAACATGTAAACAGGGCCAAATATATGCATAGCTACAGAGTGAGGGTTGAGAGTTTGCATCCACAGTGTGCCTTCTGTGAGAAAGGCCAGCCAAGATCACACAGATCTTGTGTGACTGATGAGATTATATATCCTGGG